TCGGATTGTTTAAGGTTGCAACCTTATAGAAACCAAGCGCAAACAAAAAAAATACTTACACAAACTAGTCCCCTGCCACTTTCGATCTGAATCAGCCGACTTGGCAGTTCAGAAAAACTATAAAGAAAAAAAAGAAGTTAAATATTGTACATGTTTGGGCCTGAAATGCATTTTGGTGTGAGTTTAAATCAATTCTGTGGAGGACTGGGACCTGTCCCCCACTAGTTCTGGTTCGGGCTGTTATTTTCAGAATGCTGCTTTAAACAATCAAACTTGACATGATGTCTAGAACCACTTATCGTGAAAGTTTCTTTACTCTTTTCATGACAAACTATTCTTAATACAGAAATGGTCCTCATTTTGTCTTGTCACTAGAGCAGTGGGTTTAAATTTTATAAACATCGTTGCCCATTAAAAATTTAAATGGTACGACCCCATTTTCTTTATGGGTGAGGTTAGTACTTTGTAAAAGATGTCAACTTATACTATTGAAGTAAGGAGCACCTCAAAACTATGCCAAAAATACAATTTTGGTGCCGTAAAGCTTTATGTTGATATGATATCTATTGTTGTCTCTAATTATGAAATTTAAAATTTTTAAAATAGTGATGATCAAGCATATCTAAATAGTGATCGAGCAGATATATACACATTTAAAAATATTGAAAATGGACGGTCCAAATAGTATGTTAGAAGATAAATTATTTTTAGGATTAAAAACCCCCTTTTTTCTTTTTTCTTTTTGTTTTTCATATGTCTGAATCTCAAGTCGAGATGATCAATTTGAAGCTTTTCCAGCATAAAAAAAACTTTCTCTAGTGGGTTTTTAGGTGTTATTTACCAGTACAGTATATGGTTGACACGTTATATAAACTTTTTCCTTTCTTTAGTAACTTTTGTTTTAGCATGCATAGGATTTGGTTGGTAGATGAGAATAGGGCTACACCTTTGGCATATGAACTAGAGCTTAACTGCATCATCGATTATGTATCTTATTACTGGCTGACCGTTGCTTCATGTGGTTATCCATGAATATTTTTAGTGATGATGCGGTGCATTTGTTCCTGTCGTTTAAATAAAGGAAAAAGTTTATATAAATTCATTAGAAGAAGTTGTTTGATCCCTCAATTTGATCATTTAGACCTCAAGATGTATAAACATGAGAAAAAATAGATTTCAAGTCTTGAAAATAGTGCGTCTTGTTTTTATCTAAATCGTCAATTTTTCAAGTGTTCATAGATCTGCTTGATCTATACTATTTTTTAATCTTTAAATTCTATAATTAGAAATAAAAATAAAATTGTAAGTTATCACAAAGAAATCTGATACCAAAACAGCATGTTTCGACACTATTTGAAAGTATGCCTTACTTTGATTGTTTAGAGCCTCAAGCTTATACAAACCACACTATTATAAGAAATTTTTTTTTTTTTTGGGGCAAATGTTACCGAATTTATTAATAATAGGAGATTTACCCTTATATAAATCCTAAGTGTGATTGGGGCATATTAGGGGCTAGCAAATGGCTGAGCAGCCTTGGCCCTAATCCCTATCGGGCCCACTTGAGCCTGGCAAAATCGGGCCAAAGATGCCCTGTATGGGGTATGACCTGGCCAACCCAAATACAATGCGACAAAAAAGAAGAAAAATGCAGGCCCGGGCTGGCTTGTCATGGCTTTGTTGCACCGGACAGGCCTGGCCAAGTCCGCTTACACGTCTAATTTCATAAACACCCATTTCACATTGTCACGGTACACAAAGTTGTCTATGTGTCTATTATGCTTTAGTTTAGAGTTTGAGCCCTTTCACGTGCACAAAAAAAAAAAGGGCCAGCTTAAAGAAAAGATTTTATGAAGGTGGCTGTGATAGCAACAAATAAAAGGTTTAGGAAGGTCGTCATACCTTGAATTTTGTCTGGTAAATTGGTGCACCGGCAATTTGCTTAATAGGCTCATGTGACCCCTATTCTCAGGCATCAGATCTGAGTAGATGGATATGATGGCTTGAGTCACAATGTGAGTTGTTGGCTCTTAGGCGTCAGATCTTTATTCAACAGTTCAGTATTTTTAATCTTTGTTCTATAAATTATTTTGAAGCAAACTTTGGGGCATACATATATCTAAAAGGGGTGCACGTGATCAAATTAAGGGAAAATTCCATAAAACCCTAAAAAATGAACTTTCTAATCAATTTACCCCAATCTAACTTTTCCTAACAACTTCCCCATAAAACATGTTTCCTACCCAATACCCCCAATACAAAAACTTTATTTAATTTTTTTATAAAAATATCCTTCCCTTACTTAACAAATCGTTTTTGCTGGAGAGGGCGGTCGGGCATTCACTGAAGAGAGCGGTCCGGCATTTGGAAGATGTTGTCCGACGATTATTTTGCTGGAATGAAAAGTTTGGCATTTCATTGTGGCGGTTCGAGGATTATGCTAGGAGAAATGGGCAGTCCGGCGTTTTGAAAAGGCGGTCCGACATTTTGAAGGAGCAGTCCGGCGTTTTGAAGTTGCGGTACGACATTTTGAAGGGGCAATTTGGTGTTTTAAAGTGGCGGTCCAGTGTTTTGAAATGAGCAGTCTGTCGTGCAAGTGCTGTCAGGCGTTTCCTTTTATTGGGATCAAAAAATGATTTGTTATGCACATAAACGATATTTTCGTAAAAAAATTTAACTTTTTGTATTTGGGGTATTTGTTAGGAAGCATGGTTTTTAGGGGAAAGTTGCTAGGAAAATTTAGGTGGGGGCTAAATTGATTAGAAAGTCCATTTTGGGGGGTTTTATACAATTTTCCCTAAAAATAATAAAAAGATATCTTTTTTATAGAAATTACCAGAATATCCCTAAAACTTTTAGGAGCATTTTGGTCATTTGTTTTCACGAGAAATATTTTTCTTTTATGTTTGCTAGTTTCACCCCAATAAGAAGATGAGATGCCCCAAAATTCACTTAAAAAGGTTTTGTATGAAAAACCCTAAAAAGGTAAAAATCAAACAATGTTTGGCATGACATTGGGACACAAGCAAGCCTAGCCGTCCACTCAGATTGAACGGTTGAGAAGTGGTATCACATAGAAAGCTTTCCCTTGCTATAAAACTGATAGGGAGGCAACCTAATGAAAGCTTCACCTAAGACAATATTATCCTCGTTATAGTTTAACTAAGGTGAAACAATATTTGAAAATAGCTTATGGATTGGATTTGTAGAAAAAGAACTAAAATTCAAACATGAAATGAGGTTGTGACCATTAGATCGACCTATATTCACCGTTGGCGTATTTTTACCTATAAGCCTATCGGCTTATTG